GAGACAAACAAAAGTTACAAACTATTCTCTTTGCCAAAGATTTGTGTTTAAGCTAAATAACTCATTAAAGAAATTAACTGGAAATATATTTTATACATACTTGAAAGAGTGCAGATTACAAAGGATTTGAGTAGCTGAGTACGACCTTTGAGCAGACTCTCTCTACTTCCTACTACTTTCTTTCTTCTAATTTTTCAAACCGTGACTTCTACTTCTAAGAAGGCATATTTAAAGAAAGAAAAACTACCTTGGGTTACAAAGTAACTGCGGTAAAAGTAACCCTAGTTACATAAAACTAACTATGGTTAACTAACCCTAAGGTTATTTACAAAGGTAACTGAAGTCGGTCATCTTTATCTTTTGGGAAAGATAAAAAGTAACCGGTTTTTGCGGAACATGTCTCATGACAGTCACTTTGGAGTGAGGCATGCCTATTCCTTTGTCTGACTTATTATCCCTCCATTTGATTTTCGAGATTTTCCCACCCAACTGAGTCAAGATCATCATAAAAGGCTATATCCCCTGGATCATCTGGGTAATCATTGGGAAGGTCGTCACCCAAATCAGCGTCGCGATATTCGTATTGATCTTCACCATTTTTATATTCCTCAGAGTAAATATCGAGTAGCTGAGTGTAGCTTGTCTGAGGTGAGAAGGAAATCTCTCTTTGACTCTGACTATGAATAAACACATCAGGATCAAGATAAATTTTCTGAATACTGTCCTCAGTAAAGAGGGTGTATCCAGTTGAAAAATCATCTCCCATGACCTGCATGTGGGCCATTGTTCTAGCTCTCCAGTGTCTGAGTTGTTTTGTGAGGGACTGAGTAGTGGATGGCCAGGCTTGAACGTCTCTGTAGAGAGGTGGTAAACTGCTCCTTCTTCTTAAAATAATTTTGTGCTGTGCCGGGAGCAAATGTCTACCCTTCCATTCAGGGGCCTTGCTCTGAATCAATGCCTCAATGTAGTTGGGAGGCATGCTTTCTAAGACAGCAATGGCAAATCTTCTTCCAACAAGATCAGTATCTGCCATTTTTGTAAAGATTAATTGATAGAGAAAACCATAATCAAGGAGTAACTGTGGAGTTAACTCAATGATTTCCCCTTTATATAAAAACTGGATGGGTTCATAGGAGGATAGATCTAGAGAAACTCTGCAAATGCTATAGACGAGTTGACATTGACAGTCATACCTATCAAGTGGAATCCCATCTGCAGTTTCTCCTTCACACCTATTACACCTTTTGAGTTTTCCTTCTGTAGTAGAATAATAGGTGTCCCATGTGAAGCCTATACCAAATCGGTTAATACCAGATCGGTTAATACCATCTTCGGCTATCTGTTGAAGGAATTGTTGAATTGCCTTCAATTTATCATGGCCTGAAGCTTCGGCTTTCTGAAAAATTAACTGTCTTGAATCATCTGGCAACTCGGGAAAGGGAACTTGTGGATTGAAATACATCCTGAGTTGCCCTTGAGCGTCATCCACTAATGGAATAGATGTAGAAGTTGAGGAGGATCCTTCGATTAAATATTGATTAATTCCCAGTGGGGGAACTAATTGTCTTCCACCTGCCAGTGGGGCTAAGGTGGTCTTCACGATTTCTCCTGAAGGTTCCTGAAAATCTGGAGAAAGATGAGGGCTAATGAAAAAGCTATCTCCAAGATACTGTTGAGCAAATTGGATAGCTTCTTCAATTAGATAAAACCCTTTATAGAGTGGTTTTCTAAAATCTCATATTTGGAACAAGATCTCATCCCACTTCTTATAAACTCCAGGGGTTTTTCCCTTGATTAGAACATAATAATTAAATTTATTATATTTTCTCAAATACTGGGCTAAAGTTTTTAAATTGTTATCAAAAAGGTTCAAATTGCCGAAGCTCTCCTGAATGTTGTTCAGAAGTTGATCAGCAACTGGATCCAAATTGAGACCTTCTGTATAGGACCTAGC